AGGGACCCCACTAGATACAGGTCTCCAAATGCCTAGAGTTTGTTCCAATTAGAGATCAGCTCTGACAGGAAATCTGCAGAATTAATATTAGTATCTTGAGAGATTTCAGATGCCAATTCATGGGACAGGTTATCAGGGTAAATGCTAAGCACAGTCTAAAATAAGTCTTCACCCATCTTACATACAGGGCACTGCCTTGTACTCCCTGGGGCTTGTTCATTTAAGCAACACATGGAAAGATGTCCATGCTGCAACTTTAGCAACAACATCTTGACAAAGATGCAGTGACAGAAGAAAAACAGTGTTACCACGTTAATCCAGAGAATGCCTCGTCCAAGAGGGCTCCGTGAAGCCCCACTGCTTTTCTCAGACTGTTGCAGAATCATTCTCTATTAAAGATGGATTTAAAAGAAGCAATATCTTCCTTACAGAAGAGTTACTAGGTTAATTTTCTATATACCAAAATGCCTAGAGCATTAGAATTATTTTTTAAAAGCTTTACAGGTAGCTCAAGTAGTGCTTAAAGTGTCAGTGTGCTTAAGCCATGTTGTCTGCATGGAGATACAATCCAACCAGAAGTTACTGGTGACAAAGAAGATTCTGATTCACACAGAAATGCTTGAAGTTGTGGCCTGTCACCTAAAATTAGATGTTTAGTTAGTAATTCAATTTGATTTTTTTTTTTTTAGACCAATTTCTTCATAGCAGCAAAGGTTAAGATCTAGATGCTTAGGCACATGTTTGGCCATGCTTATATTAAAATGTCTAGTGAAACTTTTCATTCAATAGCTATTTTTTTTTAGTGGCCATGCTAGCCTTTTTTAATCTAGTCAGATACTGATGAGAGGGGCCTAGCGTATCACACAGCATAAAGAACAAGAGGAAAACCTTTTGGAAACACATGGAAATAGATCATCCACTATTTCAGCTTAGTAGGGTATCACAGTAGGGTGATACAAGCACTGAAATGCTGAGTTCAGCTGCATTTTTCTTCAGCGTCAAAATTCTTCAAAGAAAAATTAATCTCTCTCCATTTTTGAAAATCCATTTGTGTCACAGTTGCAGCATTCTCTACTGCAGCATTCTCTACTACAAACCCTTGCATTTTGATCACTGGTAGATTACCAAATATCTTTTACTTCAATATGGTTCTCCAGTCATGCTGACAATTAGTATTTTGGCAATACATCTTTTTTTTTTTTTTTTTTTTTCCCTCAAAACAATCAAACTGGACTAGTTTCTGATGAGGCTCTGTTATGCAGTGCTCTTTGAATGCATCTCCTAGGAAAGTGTGAGGATGTTCCCGAAACAACACCCGCCCCAACTGCTCAATAGTAGAAATACAATTCCTCATTTTTTTCCTGACGTTCCCTTTCCCCTCACAAATACCATTTCCCTGGTAAGCTGCTCGCTGCCATTCAGGAGGCTCACCTTCCAGCCCTCTTGGGTCTCCACTCTTTTTTCCCCATTCATTAAATACCAGGTACTAGAAAGGCCCAGGCCTGGGCTTAACCCACCAGTCACCATGTTATTCATATTAGAACTTACTTAGCTCATTTGTCTAAAAACCATGCTTGCAGTATCTGAGCCTTGTGCATATAACTAACAGAATCCTGTGGACAGCAGACAACTTGAGACACTTCTGCTTCCAACTGGCTTGAACTATATGGCACCAGCTTTCAATTACTTTGGAGTGATAGAAAAAGTAACCCTAACAAGGTAAAGGAGTTACGGTTGTTGTTTATAACTTCTATATTCAAAGATTTTTAAAAGTTAACAACTTAATTTGGAAGCTTATGTACAATTTGAGGTGGAGTCTGAAAACACTAGCTCCTCCTGGAAATGCAACTTCCATTAAATATATAGGCTGAACTATGACAGAGCTCAGTTTCTAGGGATTATTTAAAATATTGTGAGGGTTTGTTTGCAAAGTACTAAGCAAAAGCTCTTTTTGAAGAGTTTTGTGAACTTTGAGATGTATTTGAATGGGTATAGGTGATAAGCCAGCAGCAGAAAATGGAGTAATAGTCAGAGGTGCATGTTAGATATCCCTTGTTATTTGTCAAAGAAATGTAACTATGTTTTCATAAGGCTGAGCTATTCCCTATGCAGAGGAGTAGTGAACTCCATGTTCCAAAAACAGCTGGTAAAAACAAACAAAAATATATTTTCTTTATGAAAAAGGAAAGTGCCTGTAGGCAATCATTCTGTAATGCTCCACTGTGGCTTGAAGCCCCTTATCACATCACAATGGTGCTTTTCAGAACAGCACAATTAGAAGAAGCTTCAAAATAACAAATTTCAGAACTAGAAAGTCTTAACGTGCCCAGAAAAGGCTCTCTTTCATGATCACCACTTTCCATGTGTAGAGTATTGGCTTCTTGGACCTACAGAGAAATTCCCAAAGTTCAGAAAGAGTGCAATAAAAATGTCCCTGTGAGATACACATAATAAGCTGTGTGAACTACCTACAGAATGGAAAACAAAGTAATATGGAAGAATCAAAGGGCTCCTCTTTAAAATCATGGTTTGTCTTGCCTTTCAAAACTGAAAACTGGCCTATAAGTCAAGGAGCTAAATAGTGAGCTGATGTCAAGTACTTTGTACAGATAATTTTCAGTCAACAGGAATGGTGGGAGAAATCTCTCAACTGCAGGGAGACTTCCAATAGTGAATATCCAGCAGTTACAGTAGTAGGTTATATCATTGAAGATCACATGGTTTTCCACAAAATTCATCAGTTTCTGACAGAAGGTGGGTCAGGAAAACTGAAATAATTCCTGTCATATCACATATTTGCACAGCTTGGAAATCATCACCAGCATTATAACACGCTACAGAAGTAGTTGTGACTGGTCAGAGGGTGTACTGATTTACTCAGAATTTTTTTCTGCTCCAGTTTGCACAAAATAGCCTACTTTCCACACTGATAAACAGTGATGTTAGTTCAATAATACTGACTTCCCTGGTGTTCATGGATGTAGGTTTCCAGACAGAGACATACGGTTATAACCTTGATGGCATCTGTACTGAAGGTGTATGCTTTGCAGTTTCCACGCAGAAGATGATTTTTTTTTTTTCCCTTCCACGACCTTATGTCTTGTTTCTTTGTTCCTGGAATCTTGTAATACCTTTTCCTTCATTTGCAGGTCATGCATCTTTAATAAATAAATAAAAATCAAGATCATTATAAAATTAAGAAAAGCCCCAGTGTCTGTCAAGTCATTACTCAGGATCTGTAACATCTAGGAACCTGTCACTTAAAAGCAAACAAAACATGCCTTGTTCTAGCAAATCATATCAAAGAAAAAACATGGTCCATTTGTCAGGTTAAGAATGCAAGGCTAGAACAAGACTACAATGTCCAATGGTGGACAGCATTTATGCCTTACATTCCTTCCTCCCGTCTACCCTGTGATGGCCCCTTTGGTCATAATGCTATTAAGTCCTTGTGAAGACTAAGTCATGTGGGAGTCCCTGCAGCAGAGGCAGTGCTGCTGCTCTGGGAAGCTCACAGTTTGGAAAGAAGGCTCCAGAGGTCACAGAAATGGCAGACAGAGAAAGAGGCAGTAGGCACAGCCTGGAGCTGGGAACCTGCAGCTCATGCAGAAACAGTCCTCTGAGAAGAAGCAGGAGCAGCCAAACCAAGCTTTGGACGTGAGAGAAGAAACTTCACAATGGGCTAGAGGGCCTCGGACATCCGTTGTTGCACAGCTCAGTCTCTGAAAGCTTGCCTGGAAACATGAGGTGACCTGCAGATCCATGGGGATATGGCAGAACTGTGTGCAAATCCTTTTTATTTGTACTGGCTGCCACTGGTTTATTCTGGTGTTCTCTGGCAAAACTGTGGCAAAGGTCTAGAAAGATAGAATCAGAATCCTTTAGGTTGGAAAAGACCCTTACGATCATCAAGTCCATCCATTAACCTAACGCCACCAACTCTACCGCCAAACCATGTACCTAAGCACCACTGATCTGCAGAATCAAACCTTACAACTCGTTAGGGAGTTATAAAGCAGGAATTTTTTATTCGCCAGCGGGCGACAGGGTGGGTCACTCCATAAAGGCCCTGCACCCCCACTCTTTTACAAAGGCATTATTTAAAGCACACACACATACATATTCATTAAATTTAGGATGGGTTAAGCTAATTAGTTCCAAGAAATTTTAACATAAGTTCACTCCCATTCGCCCTTGCGTACTGCCTCCTGTTGGCGTTTGTTAGCAACCTTGTAGACCTCTAGACAAAGTAGAGCCAGCTTTTTGCTTCAGACTGCAGGTGTTGCACACCAGTTCCTTCTTATCTTGCTCCACACTGCTCGTGTACCAGGCACTGCAAGGCCTTTGCTGATAGTGTGGAACAGCTTGTTAGTTATTGTAAAAGTTTCCCCCTTAACACAGACAAAACAATCTAAACTTAAAGTTTCCCACCTAACACAGAGACAAAATGAAGCTAAGCTTATTTTCTAAAATCTAATTCTTAATACAGAAAATAAATGAATAAATTAACTATATTTTATATGTTCGCATATCACCACCATCCCTTTTTAATACCTCCAGGGAAGGTGCCTCAACCACTTAAGGCTGTTCCAGTGCCTGTAAGTCCTTTCAGTGAAGAAATATTTCCCAGCATCCAGTCTAAACCTCTCTGGCACAACTTGGGGCCATTTCATGTCATCCTGTCACTTGGGAAAAGATACCAACACCCACCTTCCTACACCCTCCTTTCAGGTAGCTGTAGACAGTGATAAGGTCCCCCCTCAGCCTCCTCTTCTCCAGACCGAACAACCCCAGTTCCCTCAGCCACTACCTCTAAGACTTGAGCTCCAACCCCTTCACCCGCTCCGTTGCCCTTCTCTGGACACGCTCCAGCATCTCAATGTCCTTCTTGTAGTGAGGGGCCCAAAACTGAACACAGCACTTGAGGTGCAGCCTCACCAGTGCCAAGTACAGGGGTAGGATGTCTTCCTCCTCCTGCTGGCCACGCTGTTTCTGATACAGGCCAGGATGCTGTTGGCCTTCTTGGCCACCTGAGCACACTGCTTGCTCATGTTCAGCTGGCTGTCAACCAACACCCCCAGGTCCTTTTCTTCTGGGCAGCTTTCCAGCCACTCCTCCCCAAGCCTGTAGCATTGCATGGGGCTGTTGTGACCCAAATGCAAGACCCAGCACTTGGCCTTGGTGAATCTCATACAGTCGACCTCAGCCCATCGATCCAGCCTGTCCAGATCCCTCTGCAGAGCCTTCCTACCCTAAACAGATCAACACTCCAACTCAGTCTTGCAAACTTACTGAGGGTGCATTCAATCCCCTCATCCAGATCATTGATAAAGATATCATAAGCCTTTCCCTCATCGATGAAGCAGGTCACCTTGTCAGAGAAGGACATCAGGTTAGTCAAGCAGGACCTGCCTTTCATAAACCCAAGATCCCTCTGCAGAGCCTTCCTACCCTAAACAGATCAACACTCCAACTCAGTCTTGCAAACTTACTGAGGGTGCATTCAATCCCCTCATCCAGATCATTGATAAAGATATCATAAGCCTTTCCCTCATCGATGAAGCAGGTCACCTTGTCAGAGAAGGACATCAGGTTAGTCAAGCAGGACCTGCCTTTCATAAACCCATGCTGACTGGACCTGATTGCCTGGTTGTCCCGTACGTGCTGCATGATGGCATTCAAGATGATCTGCTCCATAACCTTCCCCGGCACTGAGGCCAGACTGACAGGCCTGCAGTTCCCTGGGTCCTCCTTCTGGCCCTTCTTGCAGGTAGGTGTCACATTTGGCAGCCTCCAGTCCACTGGGACCTTCCTGGTTAGCCAGGACTGCTGGTAAATGATGGAGAGTGGTTTGGTGAGCACTTCCAATAGCTCCCTCAGCACCCTCATGTGGAGCCCAGCCAGCCCCATAGACTTGTGCATGTCTAAGTGGTGTCGCAGGTCGCTAACCATTTCCCCTTGGATTATGGGGGCTTTATTCTCTGCCCATCCCTGTCTTCCAGCTCAGAGGGCTGGGTACCCAGAGAACACCTGGTCTTACTGTTACAGACTGAGGCAAAGAAGGCATTCAGGACCTCAGCCCTTTCCTCATCCTTTGGCACTATTCTCTCCCCGCCCCATCCAATAAAGGATAGAGATTCTCCTTACCCCTCCTTTTGTTGCTAATGTAAAAAAACACTTTTTGTTATCTTTTACAGCCCAGCTCAGAGGGCTGGGTACCCAGAGAACACCTGGTCTTACTGTTACAGACTGAGGCAAAGAAGGCATTCAGGACCTCAGCCCTTTCCTCATCCTTTGGCACTATTCTCTCCCCGCCCCATCCAATAAAGGATAGAGATTCTCCTTACCCCTCCTTTTGTTGCTAATGTAAAAAAACACTTTTTGTTATCTTTTACAGCAGTAGCTAGATTGAGTTCTAGTTGGGCTTTGTCCCTTCTAATTTTCTCCTTCCATACCCTCACAACATCCCTGTAGTCCTCTTGAGTTGCCTGCCCCTTCTTCCAAAGGTCATAAACTCTTTTTTTTTTCTAAGTTCCAGAGAAAGCTCTCTGTTCAGCCAGGCTGATCTTCGCCACCAGCTCACCTTTCAGTGCATGGGGACAGCCTGCTCCTGTGCCTTTAAGATTTTCTTCTTGAGGGATGCCCAGCCCTCCTGCATGCCTTTGCCCTTCAGGATTGCCTCACAAGGAACTCTGTCAACCAGGCTCCTAAACAGGCCAGAGTCTGCCCTCTGGAAGCCCAAGGTGACAGTTCTGATAGCCCTGCTCCTGACTTCTCTGAGAATCAAAACCTTGTAATTTAATGACTGCTATGCCCAGGACGACCTCCAAACACCACATCACCTGCAAATCCTTCTCTGTTCACAAACAACAGGTCCAGCAGAGTGCCTTCCCTATTTGGCTCACTCACCAGCTACATCTTCCACACACTGCAGGGACCTCCCAGACTGCTCTTTGCTGTATTGAATTTCCAGCAGACATCTAGTAAGTTGAAGTCCCCCATGAGAACAAAGGCTAGCAATTGAGAGACTTCTCCCAACTGCTTATATATTTCATCTGCCTCTTCATCCTGCTTGGGTGGTCTGTAACAGACCTCCACTATGGTATCTACCTTGTTGGTCTTCCCCCTTACCCATAAACACTCAACCCTCTCGTCACCATCATCAAGCTCCAGACAGTCAAAATGCTCCCTAACCCAGAGAGCTACCCCATTGCCTCTCCTTCCTTGCCTGTCCCTTCTGAAGAGTTTATAGCCATCCATTGCACACAGCTCCAGTTGTGTGAGTCATCCCACCATGTTTCCATGATTGCAACTTTATCAGAGTTTTCCAGCTGCACAATGCCTTCCAGCTCCCCCGGTTTGTTGCCCGTGCTGCATGTACTGCTGCAGATGCACTTTAGCTGGGCTAATGATCCTGCCACCTTTTTTGGGGAAGAAGCCCTAATTCCTATGTGAGTGTTCTCAGGTGCTCCTGTGGTTTCTAACACATCCATAACTCTTTCCTACCTCTGCTGTGATGGCAGACCAAAGGACTTCGCTAGAACACTGTCCCTCAAACACTGGCGTGCAACCCCCAGGCTTATCTCTAGCGAGCCTGGTTTCATCTCTTTCCCCCTTCAAATCTAGTGTAAAGCTCTTTCAATCAGCCCTGCTAACTGCTGCACAAAGATCCTTTCCCCCTTTGAGACAGGTGCCCCATCAAAAACCCCAAAATTTTGCCAGTGACACCAGGCTTGGAGACAAGTACTGATCTGCTGGGTCTTCCTCTTTCTTCCCTCACCATTCCCTGCAACTGGAAGGATAGAGAACACTGCTTGTGCTCCTTATCCCTTAACCAGTTGTCCCAAGGCCCTGTGCCCTTGGACTTCTTAGTGCAACTTCATCACTCCCTACCTGAGAAATCAATCATGGATAATAATCTGAGAGCTGTACCAAGGTAGGAAGCTTTCTCTTCACATCTTTAACCTGGGCCCCAGAGAGACAGCAGACTTCCCTAAGACGTAGGTCCAGTATGCATATTGGGCGTTCTGTTGCCCTCAGAAGAGTGTCCTAAGACAACAACCCATCTTCTTTTCTTTATGGAAGCAGTTTTGATGTGTAGGCTGACTTAACCTTGGTGACTCATCGTACTCATTGTTTGGTTCCATTTGCAGACCCTTGTACCTGCTATGCAAGGGCACTTGGTGAGGTGGGGTGGTCACAGAGGAGATGCGCCTGCTGCACTGGACAGGAAGCTTCCTGACCAGAAGTCCATCATTGACTTAGCCTGAGATACCTCTTGCACGTCTCCTCAGCACCAGAAGTTCTTGACACTTCTTTCTACCCTCATGATGTTTTCTGATGTGGTAAGTATGCAGCACACAGCAAGGTCAATGTGAAGCACTGAATGTGTGCTGCGGTGTTCTCCTAAGCTTGTTAATCTGCCAAACATCGCTTGAAGCAAAGATGAACAGTACTGTAGGCAGTAAAAAATAAGTTGTCAGCAGAAGAGCATGTAAAAACCCAAAAGTCATCCTGTTACTGTCCCAGTGTCCTGGGTTTGGTTAGGATAGAGTTAATTGTTCACAGGGAACTGGGAGGGGGGAGGCCAGGGCAGCTGGCCTGGGCAGGCCAGGGCAGGTATTCCATACCACATGATGGTATTCCATACCACGTGACGGTATTCCATACCACGTGATGGTATTCCATACCACGTGATGGTATTCCATACCACGTGACGTCATGCTCAGTATTTAAACAGGGAAGTTCTGGGAAGAGGGGGCTGCTGGGTACCGTGGTTCATGAGCCGGTCAGGTGGTGAGATGTTTAGTTCCACTTCTTACGTTGCAGACTCTTTCATTAGTACTGTTGTTGTTGTTGTTTGGTGTTGTTTCTCCCTTACTACTCCAGTAAACTGCTCGTGTCTCAACCCTCGAGCCCCGCTCGTTTATATTTTCTCCTCCCCATCCCACCAGAGGATGGCGGTAGGGTGGCCAGCAACCCTCCCTGGTTAAACCACGTCACCCAGGCAATGGTTTCTTGAAATCTCCCAGAAACCACTGCTCTGAAATCAACAAGCCCTTGGGATGACAACAAACAACTTTAGAAAAGCTCTTGCTATTGGCTTGCAGCAAAGTGCATCTGAACGTGAATATGGATGGACATATTACCACCATCTGCACAGTTTCCTATCTCCCTGTCCTCTACCCCAAGCAGACACAGCAATGTTTTTCTTCCAGTGGACAGAATAATTTAGATTTTATTTCTAAACTGATAAGTTTATGTAAATTCTACCTTAACTTCTAAGTTTTTTACAGTTACAGTACAGATTACATTCTGCAAGCTAGCAGGACACACTATCCCTTCTCTGCCAATATAACCAAACACAGTGAACGCTTTCCTCAGGATATCACGTAGTCCTAGATAGAGCCCTAGTAGATGAAGGCCAATATAGATTATGAATATTAAAAGTAGATTTGAGTATTAAAATTCCACAGAAGTACAAACTTTTCTTGCAAATGTTGTTTCATCCAAATTCTGTAGCTTTTCAATAGTTTAATTCATTATTTCTTCCGTATAAAGGTTCTGTTTCTCATTCTCAACCACTTATATTTTTCTTGTCACAAGGATGCATTTGCTGTCTCTTGCCCTTCCACGACCTACAGAGCAACACATTTATGCTCTTTAGTTACTTCTGACAAGATGTGCAAAAGCAGCAGCTATGCCATGATAGAGCATTGAAGACTCTCTGTGTGACTGCTTTACACAGCATGGAACTGGTGCCATGTGGAGAAAGTGGGTTGCACTGATCACCGAGTGGGCTCAGTTGCCCAGGAATTCTGGAAGTGATCACGAACTGGCCAGAAGGCAAAAATGTTGGAATGTCACCAGAAGAGGAGATGACACATGCTGAAGAGGCTCCACCACGTAATGAACTACCAGATAATGTGAAACAATATGCCCT